CCTATCAATAATGTTGAATGTAAATGGATTAAATTATCTAATTAAAAGATATAGCAAGGCCATATGTATCTAAAAATAAGACTAAACCATATTCTACCTACAAGAGCCTCATTTCAGGTGAAGGACATATGCACACTGAAAGTGAAGAGATGAAAAATTATGTTCCTTGCAAATGAAATCTAAATGAGAGCAAGGGTGGCAATACAGATATCAGATAAAATAGACTTTAAGTAAAAAACTATTTGTAAAAAGATGTCATTATATAGTGATAAAAGGCAATTCAGCAAAAGGATATACAATATATAGATATAGATACAGATACAGATATAGATACAGATCTCTAATAGCAGAAAACTCAAATATGTAAAACAAATATAAGAGCTAAAGGGAGAGACAGGACTAGTCTGGTGACTCAGTCCATAGCAAGCAGAGATGTAGTGCTGGGAGCTGCAAGGCCAATCATATGTTCAGATTCCTGCATCAGCCTGAAAATGCCCTGGGTACCCAGAGGTGTGCCCAAGATCTTGCCAAACTGGGGGCTAGAAGAAGAGGATTATGGCATGATGTGACCTTGTCAAATATGCTTCTCTCTCTCTCTCATGAATAGAATAAGGAAAAATTTTCAAACATAAGTAAATAAAGGAAAGATAGATTGCCATACAGTAATAGCAGGAGACTTTTAACAGTCCACTTTCAGCAATTGACAGTTTATCCAGATAGAAAATCAAGACAGAAACATTGGATTTAAATTGTACTCTAAACCAAATGGACTGAACAGACATTAACAGAACATTTCACCCAACAACTGCAGATTACACATGAAACTCTCAATGATAGATCAACAGCACATGAAACACTACAAGATAGATCATATGTTGGGTGACAAAACAAGTCTTAACAATCTTAAGATTGAAATCATTTCAAGTGTCTGCTCTGACCACAATGGTATAAAAATAAAGATCAGAACAGGAGAAATATTAAAAACTTTACAAATACATGGAAATTAAACAATATGGTCCTGAAGAAATAATGACTCAATGAAAACAAAAATTAAAAAATCTCTAAATACAAATAAAAATGGAAACACATTACCAAAATCTATGAGATACAGTAAAGCAGTTCTAAAAGGGAAGTTCATGAGACCAGCAATTAGCGTAATGGCTGTTGCTGAACTTCCATGTAGCCCACCATTGTTTGCCTCCCAGACCCAGTGGCTTAAACTCATGCCGGGCTGTGGGAAGCTGCACACCAGTGAGTCTGCCGAGGTTTCTCAGAGAGCAAACAATTACCATGATTGGTTCCCTTCCAAAAACCTGACCTTCGAAACCTTGCTCTGATTGGCCACTAGAATCCCTCAAATTTGTATATCTGGCACCTCATGATTGGTCCAAAAGCAACCAATCATAACCCACCG